TTCTTACAAAACTAAGCATACTTTTATTACACGATCCAGTAATCATACTGCTTAGTATTTACCTCCAAAAGTTGAAAACTTAGGTCCACAAAAAACCTGCCCATGGATGTTTACAGCACCTTAACTCATAATTGCCAAAACTCAGAAGCAACCCAAATGTCCTTTAACAAGCAAATGGATAAATAAACTGTGGTACATCCAGACAATGGAATATCATTCAGAACTAAAAGGAAATGAGCTATCAAGCCATGAAAAGACATGGAGGATCCTAAAGTGCATACTACTAAGTGAAAGAAGTCAATCTGAAAATCTATATACTGTATGACTCTAACTATGTGACATTCTGGAATAGGCAAAATTATGGAAAGAATAAAAAGATCAGTGGTTTCTGGAGGCTGTAGAAGGGAAGGATGAATAGGCAGAGCACAGAGGTTTTTTAGGACAGTGAAAATATTATACTCTGTGTAATACTATAATGGTGGATACACGTCATTATACATTTGTCCAAACCTATAGAATGTTCAACACCAAGAGTGAGCCCTAATGTGAACTATAGACTTCGGGTGATTTTGATGTGTCAACATAGGTTCATCAGCTGTAACAAATGTGCCACTCTGGTGGTGGATGCTAGTAACGGGAAGCTACGTATGTGTGGAAGAAGGAGGTATCTTCCTCTTAATTTGGGGGGAACCTAAAACTGCTCCCAAAAAAACACAATCTTTAAAAGAACAATTGTTTCTATTTCCTAAAGGTTTTAGATAGTCTTTTGAATCCAGATTATAAAAATTATACGCTACTATTAATTCTATGAAGGCAGTGTCTGCTTGCAAAGGGAGGGGGCCCATGTCACCTGTACATGGAAGTGTCAGGAAGGCACAACCCTTCCCCACCAGGTGGTGAAGAAACTTGGGAGCCAGAGCCAACCTGACAGGATTAGATGATTCTGTTATCCCACAGGCTCTGGTCGCCTCAACTCAGCAGGAGTCCTTAGCAGAAGTCAGCTCAAAGCCTCCAACCAGTAAGGGGCAGAATTAGTGGGAGGAGCCTCGCTGCCAGTGGCTCTCTGGGCTTTGCCTCAGTGTCCAGCCTGCCCCTGCAGCTCCTTCCTAGGACTGGAAACAGCTGGAACACAGATCACTTGGCTGAGGCCCTGATGTCTTATCTGGGTTTCACCATCTTCCTCCTCCACCCTCCCAGGAGCCTGAACTCTTTCTCCCACTCCCATTCCCAAGAAAGAAAACTTGTATACGGGGGGGGTCAGGAGAGGGAGGGAAGGGTGGTGGTGGGTGCCAGAGCTCTGTTTCATGGCTTCTTGGTTCAGAGGGTGTGTGAGTGTTCCCAAGAAATTATGTCCTACCTGTTGATGCCACTTAATAAAAACAATAAATAACTCAAGACCAAAAAAAAAAAGAACAAATGGGTATAATACAGTTAATAGGAATAATTTTCTCATTTTTTAAAATCAAAGTGATGATCAACAAAATGAAATTAAGAGTAAATAAAGGAAATAATTTTCATGAGGATTATAGAAAATAAATATAAATGAAAAACCTCTACCATTAGATATTGTACTTCATTAAGAAAACAAAAAATATTTCAATTTAAAAGATCTAATATTTAAATATGAAACATAGATGACATATTGTAATCAACTCTAATATTACAATTTAATTAACTAATGAACCATAAAAATGAGCACAAATATGGGGAGGAAAATCAACTAGATTTTCCAGAAATTCTTCAGCTATCCTAGTACTAGGAAAGGAAGCATACAGTAAAAGTTAAAACATAGGCTCTAGAATCAGAAACATTTGGATTCAAAGCTCAGCTTTATTCCTCAACAGCTCTGTGCCACCTAAAGAACATGTTAATTAACTTTTCTAAGACTTAGGGTCCTCAAATGTAAAAATGGGGATAACAATAGTACCTAGTATATACAGTTGCTGTGATAATTAAATGAGATTATGTATGCAAAGCACAAAAATGTCTAGCATGGAGTACTGGAAAAGTGTTCACAGCATTTTCTACTATCCTAATACACATTAAATCTTAGGGTTTGAAATGAACAAAATTCAGCAATCAGTATTATGGAAAGCATAGTATCTATGTCAGTACTTTAAACTTTAAAGTAATCAAACTAAGCTTAGAAACTTTGTTTGCTGAGCAGTCTCTACAAAAAGTTTAAAAATTAGCCAGGCATGGTGCCATGTGCCTGTGATGCCAGTAGGTCCCAGCTACTCAGGAGGCTGAGACAGGATAATCTCCTGAGCCCAGTAGTCTGAGGTTGCAGTGAGCTATGATGACACCACTGCACTTGAGCTCGGGCAACAAAGCCAAAAAAAAAAAAGTGGGCTAAGGACATGAATAGACATTTTTCAAAAGAAGACAAACAAATGGCCAATAAGTATATGAAAAAATGTTCAACATCATTAATCATCAGAGAAAAGCAAGTTAAAACCACAAATGAGATATCATCTTACACCAATCAGAATGGCTATTATTAAAAAGACAAAAAATAACAGGTGTTGGCCAGGATGCAAAGAAAAGCGAACTCTTACACATTGTTGGTGGGAATGTAAATTAGTGCAACTTCTATGGAAAACACTGGAGATTTCTCAAAGAACTAAAAATAGAACTACCATACGACCCAGCAATCATTATGGGGTATCTACCCAAAGGAAAAGAAATCAATATATAAAAACGATACTTGCACTGGTATGTTTATCACAGCAATATTCACAACAGCGAAGATATGAAATTAACTTAAGTGTCCATAAATAGAGGATTGCACAAAGAAAATGTACATATAAACAATGGAATACTATTCAGCCATAAAAAAGAATGAAATCATATGTTTTTCAACAACATGAATGGAAGTAGAGGACACTATCTTATGTGAAACAACTCAGACACAGAAAGACAAATATCTCATGTTCCCATTCATAAGTGGTATCTAAATAATGTGTACACATGGAAGGAGAGTGTGGAATGATGAACAACGAAGACTTGGATGGGAGGGGCAGGGCTAGAGGTGGGAGGATGATGGAAGGTTGTCTGGTAGGTACAACATGCGTTGCTCCAAAGATGGATGTACTGAAGGTTCTCACTTCACCACAATGTAATATATCAATGTAGCAAAATTGCATTTGTATCCCACAAATATATACGAATAAAAAAGAAATTTAAAAAAATAACAATTTGTCTAGCCTGAACACCCCTTTTCATGTTTGACCTCAGGCATAGTGTAAATCAGGCTCAGCAAACTTTTTCCATAAAGGATCATATAATAATTATATTCAGCTTTGTGGGCAGAAAAGAAAATTAAAACCTTGCAATCTTAGATTTCAATTAGAAATACCAGTAAGAACTCAAGATCTTTTTTTCCTTTAAAATAAATATTTTCTAACTTTGTCCACTGAAATGGGCTATAAGCAATGATGACCGAGTAGCTATGTACACACCCTCTAGTACCCTAGAGGATGGTCTCTAAATACCATTTGCCATTAAAAGGAACTACATGGAGAGATGGTTTATTTCAGGTATAGAGTAAAAATGTACAAAATATACCTGGGTCAATCTGTTATACCAGAAAGCAAAGAGACTATCAAAGACTACTTGGCTCACGTGAAAAGTACAACAGTCAACCTGGAGGGATTCTCACTAACCTAAAAGGGAACAATTTGTATTTAAAAGAATGAGTGAAATGGAGTGAAACACATCAAATATATAAAAATCCTTGTAATTATAAAATAAACAAATAACCATAACTTATTGGTCACCACTGGAAGCTAGGGTATCAACTCATTACTTTGAAAATTTATAAATCAGAAAAGAATCAAGCATTCATCCTGTCAAACTATATTTCAGGGTTAACAAATAGTTTCACATGGGAAAGTTTGTTTTTTTTTTTTTTTTTTTTGAGACAGGGTCTCACTCTGTCCCCTGGGCTAAAGTATAGTGGCATCATCATAGCTCACTGCAACCTTAAACTCCTGAGCTCAAGCTATCCTCCTGCCTCAGCCTCCCAAGTGGATGGGACTACAGGTATGCCACCACACTCAGCTAATTTTTCTATTTTTTGTAGAGACAGGGTCTCACTCTTGATCAGGCTGGTCTCAAATTCCAGACATCAAGTGATCCTCCTGCCTCAGCCTCCCAAAATGCTAGGATTACAGGCGTGACCCATTGCGCCAGGCCAATATGAGAAAGTTCTTTATACAAACATTCCATCTAATAAAATGGAAGGTGAATTCATCTGTGAATTCATCTCTTCTAACTAGGTAAGCTTTTTCTAAAATCACTATTTTATAGCACCTATGAAATAACAGATTTAGGCAAGAATCATCAGGAGTTGCTAAAACCATTAAGTGAAAGACTGATGGGGAGCATTACAACGGAGGTATCAGACTAAGGCTACCTGAGCCCACTCATCAATTCTAATATAAAAGAAAGGTGGATGATAGGAGGCTGCTTGGTGGATAAATGTACATCGTTTCAGTGGTGTATGTATGTGCTGAAGGCCCTGACTTCACCACAATGCAACATATCAGTGCAGCAAAACTGCACTTGTATTCCATGAATATATACAAATAAAAAATGGGAAATTACGGGGGCAAGGGCAACATACGTAACCTAAACATCTGTACCCCCATAATATGCTGAAATAAAAAAAAAGAAAGAAAGAAAGAAAAAAACTTAAAAAAAAAAATGGGAAATTAAAAAAAGAGGGACAGCCAGCCATTATGTGCCTCTACTTGAATGTTTCACCTGCATAAAAATCAATGAGATTCTTTAAAAATTTTTCTCACGTACTAGAAATTTTTATGCAATTTACTGAGTATAATGGTAAACTGTTTTCAATTTTTATTACGTATTTCTCTTTCATAAAGAAAATGTGAAAAAAATTACACATTCATATAGAAATTTCAGTCCTAGTTTATACTTACCAACTATTTTTCTAAAGGAGTTTTAATTGATTTTAATCTTTCAATAATACTTACAGTGAATTCATCTCTTCTAACTGGGTGAGCTTTCTCCAGGGATTATACTCAGAATCGATGCTATAAAGCCGCATGTGCAAAGCCAATACGTGAAACAGCTGATCTGAATAAATTAAAGAAAAGGTAATTAGAAAATTCACACAATTCTTCCAGAACAAAATTCAGACAAAATTTCTAGTTATTTCATAAGGAAATCTGTTTCCTATCCTGATAATTGTAATTCACCAAGTTTAAGTCCCAATTATTTCACACTCTCTTTTAAGGTAAACTCTAAAATATATATCCAAATCATTTCTACTAGAATATGGACCATTCTTTTGTTCAATCTTAATACAAGAATGATTTGTCTTCTTCATCCCTTGTCACAGAACTACTTTTGACTTTATGCTGCAGCCTTGCCAGTTTGTACTTCTCACTGTTGTGGTCTCCTCCTAACCAAAATTTACCATTATATTCAATTCCCTTTCCCTGGGCAATATGGACAATTAATGCTCTAACAAATCGCTGTTAGCTGAAGTTCTTCCTTTACCTAATATTTTCCCCTAAATCTCGTTTAGACTGAATCATCAAATGCATCATCTTTTGATTCAACATGAAGAAAAAACAACTGAAGAGTATTATTTAGAAGTACTAAACCAGCTGTTTTAATTTCTATCTGAATTATAGCAATAATCTAGCAATTATTGCCCTACCAATCTTAGCTTTTAACAAAATTCTGCTCATGACATTTAGAAGAAAAGTTTTTGTTTAAAATTGGTTGGGGGGAAAAAGTCTAAGTTTTGCTTTTGTATCAGATGCCCTCTTTTTTGGGTACAAATAACAAGAATTGGATTAAATTATTCTGCCACAAATACTCAAAGATATTTGCAAATCAAAAGTTATATTCCAGAAAATGAGAAAATACCTCTTGACATATGACTGAATTCTTAAATCCAGAGAAAAATTAGCTGAATGACACAAATCTATTGTCATTAATTCTCTAAATCAAAATACTCAAAGCTAAACCTGAGCAACAGACTTAGAAATTAATTATATTTTATGACAATTTACCCAAGATTCATCAATGTAACTCTTATGTGGGATGGCGTGGGGTAGGGTGTAGTGGGGTGGGTGGGAGAGAGAGAGAGAGAGAGAGAGAGAGAGAGAGAGAGAGAGAGAGAGAGAGAGTGTGTGTGTGTGTGTGTGTTTGTGTGTGTGGCAGTAGTAGTGGTAGTAGTTTGGGGAAGCTGTTGTAAAACATGAAAGTAATAATTTGAGCAAAATAAACATCCATTCTGTGGGGTAGGGTAAAAAAAACACATTTCTGTCAAATTTCAATCTGATCTCTTCATAACAGACGAATCTAAATATCCTGTTTCATCTCCTATTTATAAGTCCACGTATAGTCTCTTATAAAATTTCTTCATCCTATTAATGGCTAATACTAGCTGAGTTACTTATTATGTTCCAAGCACTCTGTTACATCGATTATCTCAACTAATTTTCACAAAAATTCTACTAGATAGTTAATATTATTATTCCCCCCCTTTTGAGACAAATAAGTTTCCCAAATTTCCAGTTTTTCCAGTAACCTGGGTCCATGGATGACACTGAGAAAAAGGAAGTTTTAGCAGAGGAATAACATGATGAGAACAGACATATTGGTAAATTTTATTTTATTTCAAGTCAATTATACATGATATTATTTTTACTAAGTACGTACTTTATAATAAAAAGTGTTTTAATGATTAAAACCTATAAATGTTTAAAAAACTAAAGTCTTCTAGCAGAAAAATATTAAGATCATCTCAAATTTCAAGGTAGGGAGTTTTGCATTCTTTTAATATAGGTGTTAAGTGGGTCAAAGAGCTCATTTTAATGTCTCCTTTCAAGATGAAGGCAAATCATCCTAGCTTGCCCGATTTAATCAAAAGCACAGAAGTTGCAGTTGTACTAACTTGTTTTGCATTGAAACCATGGCCACCACAGAAAATAATGTTACAATCAGCCTACTTTCCTAGTCCCTACCAGAATTAAAAAATTTCAAAATGTTAGAAGGAAACTTTTTCATCTTCGTGTATCTCCTCATTCTACAGATGAGGAAATAGGCCCAGAGAAGGAACTACCTTGCCAGGTCACTCTAACAGTTATTGGAAAAGATAAGAATACAATTCAAGAGCTGCTACTTCTTAGTTATTTCTACCATCCCACTTCTCCTTGGAGTTTTTATGGTTAAAAGTATAAAATTCCTTTTTTCACAAACACACCTTCCTATTCCTATGAAAACTGAGATTGTAATCCTGAGTCATCTTCTAAATCTATTAATACAATATACCACAACAGTCTTCAGTATTAGCTTTAACTAGAACCAAAGAATTAACATTCTAATGAGGTCTATCTATCTTTCAAAAATAACACTAAAAATTGCAGAAAACTTCAATAGAAAACAGGGAATTGACCAAATAAACATTAATATCTTTCACTATGTTAATATACTATGTTTTCAAAATTTAGTCTTATTAGTAAGAATGAACTCTAATAATCACTTAGCAGCAAAAATACCTCTCATCCCAGATAAATATTGAAGACACAGGATGAGGAGAACCTATGATCATAATCAAAAAGATAAAAACTAAAAAAATGTATTAAATACCAACTACATGCATGACATTTAAAAGTTGAAAAATAATTATATCAAGAAAGCATATGCTCACTTTAGCCAGGGCAACAGAGTGAGACTCTGTCTCAAAAAAAAAAAAAAAAAAAAGAAAGCATATGATTAAAATTTTGAATAACAAGAGCAAAAAAAGAATAGATAATTAACTCCTTTTCTGGTATAACACATTTTAAAACTCTAAACTTTGATCTAAATTTGTAAAAGGGTTTGGAAATGAAAAACATCATTAAATTTACTTGTAAGTGTGCTGTGATTTCAACCCATATATAAGAGGAACCATGTCTAGTAGGAGCCAGGAAGTCCTGGATTGAATCCAAGCTCTGTATTGGCTATGTGTCCTTAAATTACCTAACCTTAGCTTTATTTTCTGTAAAACGGATACGATATCGTCTTTCTGGGCTATTATATAGTAATAGTAGTTACAGTAATAACATACATCTGCAGTATGTGTGTGTGTGTATATATACATGGTATGTTTCCATACATACACATACATGGTTTCTAAATACATACATGGTTTCTTATTTCATATACAAATATGAAAGAAGTTTAATATTTGTAAACTTGAGATTTTATAACTAAAATGAGAGACTGTGATAAATCAGAAACATAAGGTTTCCACATAAAACTACCACTCCATAAACAAATATTAACATACATGCTTAACCCTCTTCTCTTTCTTCTCCTTAATTTTTGGTACCACTCTTCCTTGGTTCTCCTCCAGTTCCTTCTCAATTACTTTTATGTGCTCTTCTGTAATTTATTGAAACTTAAAAGGTTACATTTTCCCATAAGAAAGGAAAAGGGATCCCTTTTTAGTCCTCTCATTCAGTAAACACTACTTCACTCATGCCCATGTCTTCCACTTCTACCTGTAAGTTTACAATTCGCAAGGTCTCTAGTAATTCAGATGTTCAACAGGCATCTCAAAATCAATATATCCAAACTAACTTGATTAAATAGCCCAACCCAGCTCTAATTTTCACTTCCTTTTATAATTTATATTTGAATGAATGAAAACAGTGCCCATGTAAACATCTGAAAGAAAACTTAGCAGTCATTTCCCACTTCCTTGCCCTCCACATCCAACTGATTATCAATCCTATTGGTTCTGCCTCCTATGATCCATCCTATTCTGCTCCACTCTGCCACTATATCATTTTTCGCCTGGATTAATCAACAGAATGCTCACTCAGCTGTATGCCTTTTGTTTCACCCTTCCAATCCCTCTAAACAATAAATCTATTCACATTAACTCACAATTGATTGGTGAGTCACTGAAAGAATGGGCATAAAAAGCCCTCCATGAGTTAGCCCCTATCTTCATTTTCAGGGTTATTACTTCTTTTTCTTTCTTTCTTTTCTTTCTTTCCCTTCCTTCCTTCCTTTTTTTTTTGAGACAGAGTCTCACTCTGTTGCCCAGGCTAGAGTGCCGTAGCATCAGCCTAGCTCACAGCAACCTCAAACTCCTGGGCTCATGTGATCCTCCTGTCTCAGCCTCCTCAGTAGCCGGGACTACAAGGCACAGTGATGATGCCTGGCTAATTTTTCTGTTTTTCAGTAGACATGGGGTCTTGCTCTTCCTCAGGCTGGTCTTGAATCCCTGAGCTTAAGCAACCCTCCCACCTCAGCCTCCCAGAGTGCTAGGATTACAGGCAGGAGCCACCATTCCCAGCCCAGGCTTATTTCTTAACCTTCCTTCCTCTCTTTCCCTTCTCAAGTATTTCCCAATGTGTCATGTTGTCACACTGTCTTTGCAAGCTGTTCTCTCAGCTAAGAATAGAACCCTCTTGTCCTCTAGGCAAACTCCATGCATCTTTGAAGAGCCAGTTCATGTGCTCCTCTGTAAGGTTTTCTCTGACTGTGCAGAAAGATCTGATCATCCCTTTATGCATTCTCTATATCTTGTGTTAACTTTATTTTAGCTGCAGCCTTGTAACTACTTTTCACACGTTTTCCTCTCCTATTAGATGATGAGAGCTCCCTGAAGACAACTGCGTCTTTACATCTTTGTACCTCCTAGGCTGACACCGTATTTAACATATAATAGGATTTTTTAAAATAGGCTGAATATTATATTTATATAACTATAACATAATCCTATGGAAAAAATCATATACACATAAAATTCATGATGGTTTTATACTTTTTCCTTTCTGTCATAATGACACATTGGCTCAGCAGCTAAGAAGTAGGCCAATTAATCAGCCCTACTTTCACTGCCCCAAAAGAGACTGACCTCTCAACTCTAACTGCTAAAGCGGTGCTTGACCTACTTGCTCCTACCATCTTCTTTCCCATGCTGGTTGCCTAAACAATTCACCTGGGACAAAGAATTCTATTTTCTGCAATACTAAATCAAATTTTTACAACTGTGACAAGTCTAAAGTATTATAATATGCTTAATCACAAGACAGACACATCATTACTGAAACTGAGAAAACATT